CACTTACTGCGACATCTTGACTAACTAAATACATATTATAGTTTAATTGACTGGACAGCCGTTTTCGTGTCCCACGCTTAACTTAATTTATTACTTTAAAATTAAAATTAAAATAGTCTTGTCAGCAGAAAGACTGATTTAACTGTTAACAAACATAAATTTTGCTATTCGTTAAAATAGTTAAAACTGAAAAACACACTTTTCTGTATAGTAGGTTTAAAGTACAGAACCTTGTCATTTTATAGATAACTGTAATGAATGTGGTGAATTTGAATTCAATGATAAAAATCACAGCATATAAAAACGATTCTGAGGGGAAACAGTATGTTAGTCATTTTATTATACATTTATATTACTATAAGTAATTTATTTTTCGATTAGTCATAACACTCATAACCCATAAGATAAGTAAGTTAAATTTTAAATATATTTTAACAAAATCATTGCGTCATTACATTAATTACTATAACATTATATCATATAATTATTGTTTTAACTTGTAAGCCAATATCGACGTATAGTAGAGAAGTGTATCTAGATCCGTAAACTTGTAGTATAAGTAGCTTAAAATTAGTTTTAATATTTTAAAAAATAATGATAAACGTATGATGGTGAAAAGTTATTAATTATAACACTATCATTTTACTGTTCCAAATTGTGACTAGTGTTGATAGACAGAAAAAATAAACACAAATACCATTATTGTAAAGCCAAATATATAAGCTCTACTCAGAATTCAAAATAATTATATTATAATTTAATATATTTTATTATAAAAATAATAATTTTATTAAATTTTCTATACTAAAATAAATAATATTAACATTAAAAATACACGAATAACAGATATTCTTACTGATAAATTAATAATAAATAATTATTAACTTCACAAGCGTAGCCTTATACTAAAGCATTTAATTATTTAATTTATATTTCGGAAATAATGGAAAGCCATATTTAAAACGTTTAATTTATCAATAACGAAAATTACCTTATTTATCTTAACCGTCGTATAAACTCAATATAACATATAAATTTATAAAGCTTATAGTACAGAGATACTAAATTATTATTTGTCATTAAATATTTTATGAAGTTTAATTTTAAATTGTATAAATTTCAAAATAAATTTATAAAAATCACAACATACAAAACTTTAACTATAATATTATGTTAATAATAAAAAAACATAACTAGTATTTACAATTTAAGATACTATATCTTTATATCAATATAATAATTTATAGTTTATGTTTGTACGCCATGTGCGCATCTATCATAATTAGTGATTACATTTTTTCTGGTGGTTATAATGAATATATATGTTACGGGTAATGTTAACATTCGGATAATGTCGACATTATCCGGCTAATGTCGACATTAGCCATCCATGTTGGCTAATGTGTAATTTTTCGTTTATAAACTTGAAATATCAACATTATCCGGATAATGTTAACCTTAGCCAGTCAATTTTGGATAATGTTAAAAGTTATGTACTATTTAATTTATTTAAGTTTCATCACTGCTTGGTATATTAATTTAACGTGACCACTGACCCCAGCTTATCTTATCTTAACTTATAACTGAGTTAGTCAGTTATCTTACCGATAAAATATCATTAATACCGCTTGATGAGGTGGTACCTATAGAAAAATCATTGAGGGAAATTGCTGGTCTAATATCAGACGGTAGTGGTGGTCAAGGATACAAAAGGTGTTCATGCAAAGGTAAATGTGATACCAATCGTTGTAAGTGTAAATCATCTAATATTTTGTGTAATTCAAAATGTCATGGAAGTATGCCATGTAATAATAAATAATAACACATTCATTCTATTCTTAAATACTATTTAAAAAAAAATCTTAAAATATAAAATAAAATTTAATATTGTATTATTAGTAGATTAGGTTATTAAAAATGAAAAATAAGCTCATTTAAATTATACTCGTATTATGTATTTTATGGTAATTAGTAATTATTGTATCTTTTTTTTTTTGCATATGGTTAATTGTATCTAAAATATATTTAATATTGCTAATAATTTAAAATGATTTCCTATCATGCATGATGCAATTTTATAGTTGTTAAGACATTATCCATAAGTCCTTGGCTAATGTCATATTAACCGGTTAATGTTAACATTTGCCGGCATTTAATAATATTCATGGCGGGTAATGTTAACATATGGCTAATGTCGACATTAGCCGGATAATGTCGACATTATCCGAATGTTAACATTACCCGTGACATATACACAGTTAATTCTAAGATTAAGAATTATTAGTCGATAGATAATAGTTTTCAAATAAAGTTAAAAGATAAATAAATTATCAAATGCAAGTAATAATCTTAAATTTGAGTAAATAATTGCAGAGACCACTCCAGAGTTGGTGAATTGGTCCTTGCTAAATTTTTGGGTCTGGACAGCGGAGATGAAGCTAAATTGCTAATAGCAGATATTTGGTCACAAACATATAAAACGACGTTTATCAACAAAAGGAAATCGGTTGAGCAGTTCGAGATTTGTTGTTTAAAGATAACATAAAAACAAAATCAAATCCATAGTGAATATCCACGTTTTAATATATGATAAACGTGGGATACGGATTACATGAAAACGGCACGTAAATACTTAATTTGGTGTTAAAAAAACACTGTTAACTATTATTTAATAAGAAATAAATATATATTACTATGCAATGTTTTTAGTAAAAATTAAGTCAACCTACCGTGTAATACGTAGAAACTAATAGTAAAATATAGCGATTTCAAAAAACATAGGCTGTGTATAGGCTGACAGACGGTCTCTGCTCAGAATCGTTTTTCATGTAAGATGATTTATCATTGAATCCAAATTTAACACATCCATTACAGTGACCTACTGAATGAAAATTTAAAACTACTTGAATGAAAACACTTATTGAAATCATTAATCAATGAAAATTGTCCGCATTAAAAAAAAGTTTAATTAATGTATACTCGTGTATGTATTCTTGTACAAGAATTTAAAATGGTATTTGTTTATTATGAAGATTTCACTGTTTGATTAACGATTATTTTCGATATGAATTTAAATTCGTGATGGTGCTATAGTAATTACTAGGTATAATTTATTAAATAATAAGTATAATGTGTGTTTGTGAGTTAATTGTATATTTATAAACCATATTATAAAGCTTTGGAGTAATAAAACAATTGATATATTCACCGAAAAAAAATGTAAAAATACTTCTATATATAAATTAACAATCACGTAAATTTTTGGTGTAAACAGTTCGGAAATTAATAAAAGACTAGGGAACTTGGCTACACAGATACATCTAAAATAATATTCACAATATATAAAGTTATATTTATGACGTTATGACTAATTAATAAATCATTTAAAATTCAATTCTTAAGTATCGAAATACTCCGAAAAAATACTTTGCTTAGGAATATAAAATAAAAACATAATATATTAATTCAATAATGTAAAAGGCTTAAAAAATGATGATAAAATATACCATTTTTTTCATTAAAATGTTTTAAAATGACATCAAATTATATTTAAAAAAAGTGCTTTCTAAGTAATAAGTTTATACATTTTAAATAAATTTAGAAGTACCTAATAATTATTTTAATATTTATTTATATAAAGGCGAGTCGATTTTTTACATGTAAATAGTTTGTATATTATTCATATGCACCGATGTTCGAATCATCAGGTTATCTAATACTTTAGAACTAATACCTAAAGAACTATATCTTTCAAAAATATCGAAGTTTAGAGTATGGTATCAATAATGATCAGTTCAAACATACGTGTTGTCGATTTTAATAGATTTTCGTCGCGATTAGATATCTAGATACTATTAATTCGTTGAAACAGATTGTTCAAGCGAAGATTTTACGTCAGTATAAACGATCGATACTACCATAAAATCCACCCGGTCGTGATGGTCATAGACGCTAAGCCATGAACGCTGATCTTGTTTGTGCCTAGGAGACTGTAGGTATATAGTTACAATATATGTATATATATATATATTATATATACAATTTAGGATAGCGCGTACGTGCCAAGTATGCTACATTATTGCAATTTTCGATTTCGGTTATTCGTGAAAATGTTAACCCACAAACTATGTAGGTATATGGATAAATTCTTAATAAATAATAAGTAACTGGTAACAATTTTAAATTATATTATGTGTATCTAAATTATTATTTGATACATTTTATTCTATTACAACACCCATCTTGCCATCTGTGCCTATTTATTTGCAAACTTAAATAATACATTATTTGCGAGTATGGATAATGATAGTATTGCTTGATTTTCAAAAAAAAAAAAATTGATGAAAAATAAATGGTTAATTGTGATTACACATTAGGCGTATACCAAAAAAAAGACAGTGTTTCGTTAAAAACATTGATGACTATTTTTACCATAATTATATAGATTCAATATACAGGTACTTAATATTTTATTTTTTATATTTAGAGGACACCACACTCCATGTGCTTTTTCCATCTTACATATTATATACAACAAAACATATTTTCGTTCAGTAGAATCTATTTTATGATTTTAGTTTTAATATTAGAGTAAATTTACCGATTATCAAACTTAAAGGTAAGAATTTTATCCGGGCCATCACATAGGCTTATATTATAATAATATTATAATTTTAAAGTGAGTTATGAGCAGTTTAAAGTTTTAATATTTTACATAACTATAACTCAGTTTAAAATGAAATTATCAATAAAAGTCTACGAGATGGCCTAGATAAAATTCTTACCTTACAGTTTGGTTGTAGGTAAATTTACTCTAATATTAAAGCAATCAACTTAAAATGGATTCTGCTGAACGAAAATTTGCTATGTTTTATGTATGTAAGACAGATAATATGTCCCCCGAAAAAACGCTCCACAGGCCTTTGATACGCAAGGCTGACACTTACCTTTTGTGTATAATGTATGAATATTACTATATATATATATATATATATATATACCTTGGATTTTCTTGACCATGTCATTGATGTTGACGTTGCTAACTGCCTTCTTGACCATCGAACACGCTTTGTCGGCGTCGGACATCGGTGGCGCGTCGGCTGTGACCGTGCGACTGTCAGAGGTGGCCGATGCCACCATCGCATCGCTAGCCGGCAGAGGATTGCTCCCAGCGCATCCCATTTCTTTAATATATATGTATATATATATATATTATAATAACAGACGGACCTATTCACCTAAGATATGTAAACTGTACAATGTACAACTATGCCGAGCTGTAGCCTTCGTCGTAGTCGTAGTCGTCGTTGTTCGTCGGTCGACTGGCAGACGTCGTCTGCCGTCGTCAACCCCAGAGTCTCGGATTTATATAAATAAGTATATAGTTATATAATAAGTAGGTTTATAAGTGTAAGTGTTTCTATTTACACACATATATAAATAAGTATTGTTGTTGTTGTACCGGAGTGAAAATAGGAACCAAAAACCGTACATGAGTACGTGTGTGTGTATGTGGAGAGGGGGTTGTTTATAACGATATAAGGAGTGGGTGTTTATAAATGTGGCTATATATAGGGTGATTTATCAAGCATGCTCGCCATTTTTTTTCTTTACTAATATAGACTTACTAATTTTTTCATGTGAACTTAAATATTATATTTTTTAATTCTTGGATCTTGGAGAATGATAAAATTCTGTTTTATTTTTCGAATAAAAATCCTCAATTTCTGCTTTAAATTATTTAACGATTAATTTTTCTGAAAATAATATCATATCAAAATTAAAAATTCAAATAAATATTTTTTGAGTTTATTTTTAACTTTATTTAATAAGGCTATTAAGGGTAATAGATCTATGATGACTGATGAGTGATGACGGATTTGAAAAATATAGGAGCTATAGTAATTTAAAAATTAGTAGTAATCAACATTTAAAATTAAAATTTATAATTTTTTTTTTATTCATCTTAAAATACATAGTAGAATAAAATTGGTCTTTAATATATGTGTATTTGTGTTGTTTATATATATTTTTATTTTTTTTACTGAATTATACAAATTCAAATTTTTTTTAGAAATTAAATTATATTCCTTGCAACTTGTGGACTCAGTCCTAGAGCTTGGTAGATTTGTTCAGAAATGTGAAATTGGCTGCAGAATAGTTGGGATTTTTAAAATTCAATGATGTTATTATTTATGTAACTATAAATTATATTTATAACTTTTATAAATGGTCAAAGTATAATAAATATTAGATCAAATAATATTACATATATTTTATATTAAAACCATTTTTTAAGGGTTATAATTATCTTTATAGTATAAACGTTTTAATAACTTGAATTTTGAATACAAAAGTAAATGTCACCACAGGACATTAAAAAATATAACAATATTACAAAAAATGTAATAAATTTAAAATTTCAATAATCAGAATTAGAATATATTTATTATCATAGAAAAAATCAGGGTTAGCATGCTTGGTGAACCACCCTATATCAATACATAATATATTACCAGTGGGCATATAGATAATAATATATAGGTACGTAAAGTTGCGCGTGGACGATAAAGAATATCAAAAATACGCTTCTACCGCCTACGAGCGCGCCGGTCGACGGCGGTCATATTATAATATACACGCTATATTATATACATATTAATATATTATTATTACAAAATATACGATTTATTCGTGTAAAATTTAAATATGTATTATTATACACACGCAGTCGCCTATACAGGATGATTTATAATCGGGGCGTTTTACGATCAATTTTTTTTTTTTTTTAATTTAAAAATTATGACTGGTCAGCGTCGATATAATTTTACTTAATATTATTTTATTCTCTAAATGTATACATATATGTAGTTATTTTGGAAAACTGAATTATTTAGCTCGAGAATATGCGAATAATGTCTTGAGCTTATTATAAAAATTATAATTATTAAAATTGAACGCAGAAAATCATATTAATGTCATTCTAGAACCCTAATAAATAATAGTACCAGTACGCCTATACTAATGACTTATTTTAAAAATTAATCTTTGATTATCATTTATGAGAAGGGAACAGTCATTATTAATTTATGTATACCCTTATAATGGTATTTCAAGCGAATAAAGTTTGTTACAGTTTTCAAAATTTGAATATTTAAAGTTTATGGTTTATTAAGAACTGGAATGTTCGAGGATTTTTTTAAAAGAGATAATTTCATAAGTTAAAGAAAAAAAAAATTATATTAAATCAAAATATTATTATAATAGTTATACAGTGAAACCTCGGTATCTCGAAGTTTCTGTATGTCGAATTTTTTTTTCAGTCCCGATCATTCAGTATTGGACTTACGTATTAAGTGATTTCGGTATATCGAATTTCCATATGTCGAATATTAATACATAATATGTATGCAATGTATAAATACATTTTATATTATAAATACACATTTTTCCCAATAATTAAACATTTTTATTTCAAATTTTATTTATGTTTTAAACTCCCTCGCTAACTCGAAGTTTCGATATGTCGAATTTTTTTTTCGGTCTTTTACGACTTCGAGATACCGAGGTTTCAATGTATAACAGCGATTCTTCCTGTGGTCTGCGCCCCCCTAGGGGTCCGTGATACTCATATCGGGGGTCCGCGTCAAATACTTTACATATACCACACGTCAATAAGGGACATGAGTGCATTATTAAAATATTGTTGGATTCTTATCATTTTTTTTTTTCATATATAATAAATCTATTATTATATAAAAAGATGGACATAATATATTATCTTATTTATATTACTTTTTTTATGAAAAATTAAGTGTAAGAAAAATTATTAAAAATTTAGTTATAATACATGAGATGTTTTGTAAAAAAAGGTATTCGAAAAAAATTGGTTAGGGGGTCCGAGATTTCTAAAAAACTTTGATCAAGAGTCCGTGATCTATAAAAGGTTAAGAACCGCTGTTATATTAAGCAACTTGTGCGAAACGAGAATATTATATAGTTTTCAAGTTTTCTTCGATGTTGAAAGCAATAAGTAAATTAAATTAAAAAAAAATTATCTCAAGGACTGATTCTTAGTTATACCGTGTAATAAAAATAAAACTTTTTTCTTTAAACGACAATATTCGTTGTCGTATTCATTTTAAGCAGAGAGTTTGAATTCGAAATTAAACAATTTGTACATTCCATACAACACCTGTAGTACATCGAGAATAAAATATTTTTAACAAATTTTTGAGCCGAATATTTACAAATGACCGTCGATCGTTAGTATTAAGTCGGTTTAATATTATTTTTTTTTAAAGTTTAATTATATTTTATATTTAATCGCAAAACATTATCATACAGATGATGGAAAAATTGCTATAACAAATAACTGAAAATACAAAAATTGGGCAAGATGGATAAAAAAAAAAAAATTCACCCTGTACATGTAATATGTTAGGTTTGACGGTCGAACACGGGCAGGAACCTAAATAAATGTGGGTGCGTGAGCGTGCAGCCGTGACAACGTGGACAGCAAAACATTGCAGCGGGCGACGTGATTGCTCGCTCACGGTCGGTCAACGCCGACCCGCTGCCGTTCCAACGGTCTCGCTTTTTAAAGCTCGTTTGTAATAACATTATTAATGTTGTCGTGTGAAATTTGCACACACTTTCATGCGCATCCGGAAGTGGCGTTGACCGGACGGTTTTTGCTTTTCCGACTGTACGCGCTAACGACGCAAGCGCCACGCACAGTGTCGGATTAGTCATTAGATCCTAAGGACGCGAGCTTACAGGCACCATTCCCCGCAAAGAGCACAAAAAAAAAATAAATAATACCTTACTATCGAAAATAAATGTGCTTTTTTTTATTAATTTAAGCCTGCGGATTTTGTTTTATCTTCTATAGCATTGAATACGCATTCAATTATTTTATATTTATTTAAGTGTAACTAAAGTTTTTTTATTTTTATTTTTTTTATGTTCATTAAAATTTATAATTAATACGAAGAAATACAAAGTCAAATCAAAATATTAATGAAATATATTGTTAAAATATGTATACTAAGTATAATTATAGCCCTTAAAATTGGATTTATAAAAATATAAAATATATTATGTCACATTAGGTTTAATATTAATTATTATACACAAAAAGTTGAAACTCTTTTAGAAATTATAAATATTAGTAGATTAGGTAATATTAATTGATAAAATAGTACTACATTATTATCTTCTAAAACCATTATCATAGACCCATTATCATTACATTACACAAAGTTAAATAATTCAAAAACTACTTGTTCGAATTTTAATTTTGATGCATCAAAATGTTAAGAAAAATTATCCACTAAATAATATTCAGTAAATAAGGGGCATTTTTATTTGAAAAATAAAAATTTGTGTCTTCACAGGATGCTCCTTAAGTATAATAGTATAAAAAATCTCAAAAATTTGAAAATATGGTCTTTAAAATTATTTAAAATTTCCAAAATTTAAATTTAAAATAATGCATTTTACTGAAGACGAAAATGGGTGAGTGTGTTTTGTGAATCACGCTCTATTTATATATTATCATATTAAATACGTATTGTTATAACTGCATTTTAATTTTTTATTAAATCTGTATATAAATTAAATAATTACATTTTAAAAACAAGATCAACTTGTTTTAATAATTATTTATCTAATTTATTTATAACACTTATAAGTTATAAGTTATAAGCATTTATAAATTTTGTATAGGTAACATAAAATTAAAGTTCATCAATCAACTTCGTGATAATTTGATATAGCTTTATCCGGTGAGATTAATGGTTTGAGTTTTAGACACGATTTAAATTGAATATATTGTTGTTACAGCGTTCATTTTTTTGAAAAGAAATCAGAAATTTATAACTTTATAATTCTCTAAGAAAAACAAAACACTCTCTAGTGAACATTTGAAAAAAGTTTAATAAAAGCCTCTGGAGATTAAAATTGCGTTGGCAGAGATTTGGTTTCATTTTAATTAGTTGATTACAATAATGTTTTTCTAGAACTTAGATTTTTATAATAAAGCTACAAATGTTGTAGATTTTTGTTTTTATAGGAGGAAAGATAAGTCTTTATAAACTCTGATCATATTATAAAAAAATTTAGAAAGTCTATGATAATAAAAATGTAGAGTTATTAAGTTAATTTTCAACCAATCTAAATTAATTGTATTCATAAATTTGAATTATTTTTACCTGTATAATAATAAGTTGTAGAAGACTTTTTTTCTTATTTTCAACTGCTGTAAAATCATATTTTTGTTTCGTAATTGGAATAGCTGTAGTGGGTCATTTTGAAAATAATAAAACACAG